GCAATGGGACTTGCGTTTTCAACAAGAATTCAAAAATATCATTTTTCACCATAAATGATTGTGGTTTTTAACAAGAAGAAAATATCACTTTTTAAAAAAAATATTCACCAAAATTAGAAAATTAAAGATATCATCATGAAATGAACAATTTGAGAATGGTCCACATGTAGTACCTATATATGTAATATCAAAGCAATTGGACTTGCGGTTTTTAACAAGAAGTCGAAAATATCACTTTTTACCAAAAATGACAAAAATATTCACCAAAATTAGAGAATTGAAGATATCATTACAAAATGAACAAATTTGAGAGAGATCCACATGTAGTACCTATATATGTAATATCAAAGCAATTGGACTTGCGGTTTTCAACAAGAAGTCGAAAATATCACTTTTTACCAAAAATGACAAAAATATTCATCAAAATTAGAGAATTGAAGATATCATGAAATGAACAAATCTGAGAGAGGTCTACCCAAGGTGCATATACACCAAATATCAAAGCATTCAGGCTTGTAGTTTTCAAGAAGAAGTCGAATAAGTAAAACATTGACACGGACGACGGACAATCACTCATATGATAAGCTCCGCTCATCAAAGTCAACAGCGGAGCTAAAAAGTGCAAAAACATTTGGGCGAGAAAGTCTAATGGTGAAAGGGTTGAATATTAAAACAGAATGCAGAATCTGCAAATTCTGTACAGTGGGTTTAATGGAGCATGAAATATTTTTTTTTAGGAAAATTTATGAAATATTTTTTAAAAACATATTTATTCTGGAAGACCCTTTAGCTTCATCCAAAGAGTACGTTTTGTTGACTACAGAAATCATTTTGTTATTAATTTGTAAAAGGGGACATTGGTGTTCCAAAGTTTAATGAAACATATAGCCGGCGGATACATCAAAGCTAAAATGCTAAATTTATATACAAAATAGTTTCAGCACAAGACAACATTGAGTTCAAACATTAAACCTTCTCACCACCAGTTCCCACTTTTCATCACAAATTCACAAAATAGTCCTGTTATAGTACAATGTATGCATTTTTCTTCAGAAGATTGCGACAAAAATAGCCAAGTTTTTTGTGTAAAAACGGAAAATTGACTCAAATTTGTCTGTTGGCTCCAAAATTAATGTTCTTTTCAAGAAAAATTGAAGAATATGAGCATAAAATGCAGACAAATTTTAGTGAGAAAATAAAAGTTAAACACTTTCAGTAATTATAGCCTTGTAATAATTTCAAAAATTTTGATTATAAAATATTTTTATTTAACATTTATTGAACACTCATAGATCAATATATAACCTTTGGATCCTAAATTCTAAAATCAGTGCTGTAATCAATAAATATTTTATTTTATGATTTTCATCTTGTGTGATGATTGGTATTTTGGGGGGCGGAGCTACGTCACAGAACATTCTACGTTGTTAAGACGTGCACCACTGTACCATGTATTTCTATGGACTCTGTACGTGCGAGCTGGTGTGGAACGGCGATCGAAGAGCCGGTGAAAACAGCTGAAGTCAAGAAAACAGCACGAACGCAACTTTGAGGCAATCCTGAACAACCAAATTGACATACAGTATCTTTCACATGTAGGGGTAATCTTGTTGCACTGTTCAGGAGAGACTCCAGAACTAGCACAAGGTACAGTTTTTTCCAAGATTCCAATGGTTGATGTTTTCATCAGTGATGGTTGCTAGACAATGAAAATGACTGGATGTTTGCTTCGGAGAATAGTACTTTCCTAATGCCTGTAAACAGTATTAATATCTAATATATACTATATTTCTATATGATATGAAGGGAAATGTATTAAAAGATTTCTGTTCTTTTTTGTTCTTGTCATTCTATTCACATACAATTACTTCCAGAAGTTGAACTTTTGTATTTGGAAGGTACCCAATTTCAAGGTCAAAACTGATTAAATTTGTTTAAATAGCCTACTCACCCAAGACAATAGCCTACTCACCCAAGACAATAGCCCACTCACCCAAGACAATAGCCCACTCACCCAAGACAATAGCCCACTCATCTAAGACAATAGCCTACTCACCCAAGACAATAGCCCACTCATCTAAGACAATAGCCTACTCACCTAAGACAATAGCCTCCTCACCCAAGACAATAGCCTCCTCACCCAAGACAATAGCCCACTCACCCAAGACAATAGCCCACTCACCCAAGACAATAGCCTACTCACCCAAGACAATAGCCTCCTCACCCAAGACAATAGCCCACTCACCCAAGACAATAGCCCACTCACCCAAGACAATAGCCTACTCACCCAAGACAATAGCCTACTCACCCAAGACAATAGCATACTCATCTAAGACAATAGCATACTCACCTAAGACAATAGTCTACTCACCTAAGACAAAGACCTACTCACCTAAGACAATAGCCTACTCATCTAAGACAAAGACCTACTCATTTAAGACAATAGTCTACTCAGCTAAGACAAAGACCTACTCATTTAAGACAATAGCCTACTCATCTAAGACGATAGCCTACTCATCTAAGACGATAGCCTACTCATCTAAGACGATAGCCTACTCACCCAAGACAATAGCCCACTCACCCAAGACAATAGCCCACTCACCCAAGACAATAGCCCACTCACCCAAGACAATAGCCTACTCACCCAAGACAATAGCCTACTCACCCAAGACAATAGCCCACTCACCCAAGACAATAGCCCACTCACCCAAGACAATAGCCTACTCACCCAAGACAATAGCCTACTCACCCAAGACAATAGCCCACTCACCCAAGACAATAGCCTACTCACCCAAGACAATAGCCTACTCATCTAAGACAATAGCCTACTCACCCAAGACAATAGCCTACTCATCTAAGACAATAGCCTACTCACCT